TATTTTTATATTAAAATTAATGTAAAAAATACATTTATTACTCGTTGCATATAACTTGTGTAATAAAGGTATATGATACAAAATTCATATTTTTAAATGCCATATGTAGGCAGAGCAGAGCAAGAATTTTTTTTTTTTTCAGGGGGAACAAGATAATTTTTAATATATTAATTTATAAAATTTTTAAATTTCAAGAGAGTGAAATAATTTTACATATATTAATTTACAAACATTTTCAAATTTCAGAGGAGCTAGCGTCCCCCCTCACACCCCCCTCCCTCCGCCACTGTATGTAGGCATAGGTTTCAGTTAAGCTTCAATGGTACTAATTAATCAGTGCTTATGAAACGGCAGGTCAATCATATATAACATTGGCCAAACATAAAGAGCCATACCTTAAATTGTACTTTCATTATCAAAAGTCCCTTTTGACTCCGATGGCTAAAAAATTGCTTAAATCAAGGGTACCAAGATTAAATAATTAGCTTGGAGTTAGGAGGAAAGATGAAGGTGAGAGGGAGAAAAATGATGGAAAACAAACTACTAGTACAAAGAAAACAATTGATTTGCCTATATATTCACATATATATATATCAACATTAATTAATAACATATATAATTACTTTTGCCAAGTGTATATTTTAACAAATAACAGTTTAAGATCTACCTTAAAATTTTCATTTTTAAATTTAAATTTTAAGATGAATAGGTGTAAATTTAGGAAATGAGAAGATTATATTTTATTATATAAATATCATTAGATGTAAACTATATAATTTTCTCTTATTTTTCTCAAATTTGATAATAAGAGAGATGACCTTTTGGAAAATTGAAATATGATTAATCGTTTTCAAAGCTTTCATTTCATTGCTAAATTCAACTAATCGTGACTTTAAAAAAAAAAAAAAATTTGCAATGAGTTTTTATCTTTAAGAAAGATGGTTGGGTACGTAAATGAAAGAGATCTATAGGTGATATTTCCTTTCAAGGAAGATTATAAAATCTCCAAACTCCATACTTAGTTATCAAAGGAAAGAAAGAGTCATCAATAAGGGGTTGGATCAAGTGGTAAGCGGCGGTAAGCGGCTTGTTTCAGCTTAAGTAAGATCTCGAGTTTGAGATTTTGTGAATGCAGCAGTTCCCGTTGGGAGACTCACCCACCATTTCCAGGTGCGCGACGAGAGTCGAGTTCGGATTAGTCGGGGCGAAGCCTCGGATACCGAACGAGAAACCGAAAAAAAGGAAAGAAAGAGTCTATTGCATTCATATTCTTGAAGTGGAAATGGAGAGCTAATTAAGCTCCATTTATAGCCTTATGTTCATTTAGAGATTAATAGTTTTAAATTCAAATCAAAAAATAAATTAATTTAAAAGTATATTTGGTTCAAGAGGAGGGGAGAAGATAAATTTTTTGATTAATTAAGTTATAATATTAAAAAATATTATAATTTAATTAATTAAAAAACTTACGCTCCTCTTCAAACCAATCAAATTATAAGGATAGGAAACAAAGGTCCACATCATTCGTGTTTGTTTTGTGCACCACACTTTTCTTTTTATTAGGATAAAAAAACAGCCTGTCTAAGCATGAATTTAATGTCCATTGTTGCATTAATATAAATGTAAATAAATGAACAGAAAATGAAAATTGGCTAGCCAGTAAATCTCCAAAATTTGATTATAATGGTAAGAAAACGAGCGGTTTAAGCATGAAATGCCCTAGATTAGGGTTTAGTTTAACGTGCTAATATGTAGTCATAGTAGTAGGTTTTTTTTCAATTCTTTAACATTCTAATAATATATTTAATATATTTAATATTTATTACAATTAATATTTTATATTTTTTAAAATAAAAAATATAAAAAATTAAAAATTGAAAGACCAACAACCACTGTCAAACGAAACTTAGATGACTGTTTTGTCAATGAATTCAGACTGAGATACAGCTTCTTCCTTTTTCTTTTACTTTAAAAAATAATAATAATAATCCACCCAATTTTTGACACATTTCTTCTTCATTTTAGGAGATGTTGAGTTCGCCCAAAAAAAACCATCCCCTAGCAAGTAAAGGCAATCAAGTGATCAACTTCATAAAACCCTTCTTATTGGATCGCTCAGACACTCGATCAAACCCAAGTTAGCCACACCCCCCCCCCACCCCCCCAATGGGTGCCTGCTTGTCAATTCCAAATCCAAAACCACGTAAAACAGGAACCGATTTCGGTGTTGGAGGAGCACCAGCCGCCATCAAACGGCATCCAACAGCCAAGGTGGTCCACATGGACGGTCGGATACAAGAGTTCAAGCCCCCGATACAAGCAAAGCACGTCACTTCCCAGAACCCCGGCGACCACTTCCTCTGCAGTTCCGAGTCCATGTCCATCGGCACCTCCGTCCCGGCCGTTCCCGACGATGAGGAACTCCAACCTGACCAGATATACTTCCTCCTCCCACTCTCTCACTCCAACAAGGCCCTCTCCCTGCCAGAACTCTGCGCCCTCGCCGTAAAAGCCAGCTCCGGCCTCAGCCAAGGTTCTATCAGCAATTCCAGGTTCATTCTCCGGTGATCGGCCCTTTTATAGAATATATTAGTATATTGTCTGATTAACCTTTTTTTATTATAGATTGTACTTTACATCAAGTCAATGGTGTTACTTATCCGAGGAATTAGCTGCCCTTGTAAGTTGGAAAATTAGTACTCTTTTGTTATCGCAATGTCTGAATTAGTACAACTGAGGTAGGCGTCAATCACTTTTAAGAAGTGCAGTAATGTCTGAAAATTTAAGATTTAAATTTAAACGATCTTATGTTTCATCTCTTAACTGTACTAATTATATTACCCAAAAAAAAAAATACTGTACTAATTAAAAAAATTTAAAAAAATGGTACAACTGGGGGCAGGCGTGTTCTGCTCCCATATTTTTTGCTTCATTCCTCTTTGTGTTTGTGGCAGTGTTCTGAATCTGAAACAGTGTTACGTATATAAAGTAGGGTCTTCAGGATAAGGTCAATGCTTATGTCATGGGTGGTGTTATTGTCACAGCCACTACTGTTAATACCACAGCTTTTTTTAATTATTTGACCATTATACCCCTCATTTGGATCCAACTTGCAGCAATCACCATTGTTGTCAAAATCTAAATTTAAATCTTTAAATCTTTAAATCTTACGATTTTACGATTTTAACAAGATATTTCGTGTAAAATCTATACTAAAATCTGAAATTCATAAAATCTAGAGATTTTATCGTAAAATCTAGATTTTACTGTGAAATCAGGTAAAATCGGATAAAATCTCGATTTTACCTTCTGTTTGGCAGCTGGACTTTTAACCTATTTCTTTTTGAACTTCTCATCTTGGGTTAATAAGTTTTGACTAGATAACCCATAAATTAAGTTCATTTTTCATTTTAAAAGCCTACAACCCACACAACCCAACAACAAATCAACATTTTAATCGGGAATTCGGGACAAATTTGATTTAACCATCTAAAATTTTAAATTGAAGTCATCTTCTTCGTTTAATTTATTTGTGTTGTTGGATATTTAGATTTTAATTAGCTAATTTCAAGTTTCTAACTTTAAATTTGATTTATTGTTATTTAATTTTGATTTTATATAATTTATTATATATTATATATTAAATTTTGTAAAATCTCGATTTTGCCGATTCAATTTTACGATTCCAATTTCACATAACCAAAACGATTTTAGGTAAAATCTCGATTTTGACAACCTTGGCAATCACCACCTTCTCCGCGTGGGTTAATGGTCAGTTAATTAAAAAAGATGTGGTACCAACGAGGGGTTGGATCAAGTGGCAAGCGGCTTGTTCTAACTTAAGTAAGGTCTCGAGTTCGAAACCTTGTGTACGCAGCAACCTTTGTTGGGAAACCAACCCACCATTCTGGTGCGCTACAGCTGGTCGAGTTCAGAGTAGTCGGGGCGAAACCCCGGATACCGAGCAAAAAACCAAAAAAAAGATGTGGTGTTAACCTGTGAAGCTGTGGCAATAACACCACCCTTATGTCATTTTGACCTAAGGTTAGGATATTTTATTTTTTTTCCCATTTTATGGGTGAATTAACAATTCAGAAAACTATCTAATCACAAATATGGTAAGATACCATAACTAACCAAAAGAAAAAACTGTTTTTATAATTTAAATTATACCATTTAAATCATTAAATAAGAAGTAAGTCTTTATGTTAAAGGCTTCGCATTCAATACTGTCAAAAAAGGCTTCGCATTCAATACTGTCAAAAAAGTCTTCGCATTCAATAATTATTGTTTCGAAATTAGATGCAAAACAGGAGATTCAAATATTTCAAAGGTTGGATTTACAAAATTAATTACTAATAACTGAGGTAAAATTTAAATGTACTAATACGAGCTGTTAATTCTTGGGACTGCTGCCTTAATTATAAAATTTTCACAATATAACGATAAGGATACTGAAGGGACCTAACTTATCTGTCAACCATTTTCCACAACACAAATATGTATCCCATTTCTTTTTTCAAAAAAAGAAAAAGAATATACATATGTATACATAGAAAAAGTAGATATCAGCCTATGAGTTAGTTTGATAATACTGGTTTATAATTGTAGTTATAAGTATTTTGATTCTTTGACATCTCCAAAAAATTTAAAATATAATTAATATATTCAATAATTATTTTAATTAATATTTTATATATTTTTAAAGTAATAAAAAGACAGTAAAATTAAAAACTAAAATACCAATAAACGTTCTCAAACGAAACCTTTATTATGAAAAAAAAAGTAAAAAAACCCTAAAACTACATCATTTTAATAAAATTTTATTAAAAAAGATTAAAATATCTAAATTTTAAAGTAAGAATAAAGTTATTTTAATCTTTTCTCATGGCATTTTATTAGAAAAGTGTAATTTTAAAGTATTTTTTAGCTATTTTTTTGTAATATAGG